CACTCTGGGAAGTAGGTTGAGTACCAATCTGGGTAATTTTCGATTCGCAATTGAAATCGAGGTGAAGGAGAAGCTGTTAAAGAGCTGATCGAATGAAGGTTCGTCGGAGTTGGTAGACAGACACTGCGCTTTGTTGTCATTCAAGCGGTTTTTGAATAAAGCGAGGTTAGTAGTGTAAACGTGAGGCGGATAATTGATCCACCATAGAGTAACAGGCGATACGACAAATCTTTAAAATTAGTATACTAGAGTTTTCGAAGGTGAAAAATAAGGATTCGGTCTTAGTTTCAACATAATTTCCAGAGTTAAGTAAAAATATCTATACCCTTGCATTTAAAATTTTGGAGAAAATTATAAAAATAGCTGTTTTTGACATGAAGCGCCTCCTACGGATTCGTAGAAGAAATAATATCGTGATATTATATTATATTATAATATACTCTTTAAAACTAAACCAAGTTCGTCGAAATCGGATTAGCCAAACAAAAGTTATTCAACTTTTTCTAAATCAACCCTTCCCCACCCTTAATTTGACGAGATAGAAAAAAATAGTTCAAACTTTCTAGGTTAGATTACGTTAAAACTAATTTTGATATAGGTTAGTTTGGAATATTTTTGAGAAAACTCGTCTTTTCGATTTTACAGTCGAGGTTACGCCCCTAGCGGCCATTTTATAAATATTTTTTTTCTAAGTTGTAGGACGAACGGTTCCTGAGATATGGCCGGCGTCCTTTATTAATGGCCCACCTGGTACATATAAGCAGTGCATTATAGATCTCCATTGAGGGAATATAATGAAAAAAATGCCAAGAAATAAAAGTCTAAATGTCAAATTTTAATTATTGATCTGACAACGCACATAGACCCTCGACTTACACCTAGTTTAATATTATTTAGTTTCTCCCACAATGTTCGCCAAGTGGGATTTTTTTAATTTGAAAGGGGTGAGCAAAATTTCTCGCCTTTACAGTTGTAAGTAAGTTGCAAGACCAACGAGATATGGTCGGCGTCCTTTATTAATGGACCACCCGGTACAACTAGATTATAACTCCGCCGCTGGTTACGTAGACGCAATACGTAACCCGTAAAGGAATTCTCTGGCATTTAACGGGAAATGAAAAGCTTCGGGAACGGGAGACAACAAAAGTTTTATTTTATCGTCTTATACGCCAGTTCCGGGAGCCTTATGCGCCTGATCGTTATTTCCACTTACACCCCGTCATATACGTGGAGTGGTGAAGACGGGGTGGTTCGTAAAATAAGATACACAATGTAATCCTCGACGTCGCTAGTTTTGATGGCAAATCGTTTAAGTGTTTAGTTCTCTATTGTCGTCGGAAGCTGTCGAATCAAAATTCCAATTTCACCGAACCCAGTCGATGTTAGAAATTAATTCCGTTCGCAAATCGACGTTTACGGATAGGAAATTGGACTCGCGCGGCCATCGAGTGAGATTTTCGCGGAAAATCCCTCGGTTCGAACCGACCGGGAAAATCTTGGCCGAGCTCCTTCTCATGATATATGCACTAGAAGAACCCAATTGTTTTTGCATTCAAAGCATTTAGCTGTTTTGTAATTTTGTAAACTTTCACGACCGAACTTGAGAGGGCACTGTCCTCAGGTATCTTGAAAAAACTGAAGTTGCACCTACACTCAAATGGAGTTAAGCTTCATAACCTCCAAAATTAAACGTTTCCATTCACATTTCTGTTTATTGCAACTACAGTCTTTCGGGTTGTCTCTTTTTTGTTTGTCTGTGAATCGCAGCCTAGAGATAGTCTAAGATCCGAGCCCAGACCGACCATCACATCGATATAGCGTGCGGGAAGCGTCACTTTACTACGTCAGTTTCGTTGCCCACTATGAGTTAAATGCCGTTTACCGCACTTGCTACATAATATACTATTATTTGATAAAATGTTATTTTTATCTGGTTGGCACTATGGCGAACGTCGATCTTAGTTCAGATCCTCTACTAAGAGGACGTCGTGTCAATGTTTTGAGCGTAGTTTTGTTAGGATAGGCGCTTTCAGAAACCAAAATACTCACAGAATACTTTTGGGATATTAAACGACAAGTAACTAAATATTTCATCCTGCGCCAGAGTACTAAACTTTATATAAACCGTAATATTGCCGGCTTAACTGAGAGACTGACGGGCAGTTATCGGAAAACGTTTTGCGATTCGAATTCCATTACGTTTTCCAAGAAAACTACACGTCCGCGACAGGCAATTATGTAAATGTCCGTACGGCCACGTGCCGCGCCCCCGTATCTCTTTGGAGTCGATTAAATACGTCTAATGCGTCGCCACCGACTCCAGTGCAGCTATTCTAAAAAAAGAAAAAAAGTTACTCTCCAGGGAGATTTTAATACTTTTATTCCTTAAAAAATTATCATTTTTGGGCAGATATTAATTTAGTAGTAAAAATATAGTGAATGAGACCCAAAAATTAACCAAATTTGTAGGTTATAATCTTCTCCCTCTTCCTCGTTTCTATCATTCATGACCAATAGAATAGAAGAAATTTGGCTGTTTTTTAATAGACATTTAAAATATATATTTTTGGGAAACAGGCCCACTTTTTTGCTATTTGACCACAGCATTTCTGTTTCCCAAACTCAAGAAGAGTTCCCTAGAATAGAACGTTTCGACTGGTATTGGAAACTGAGTTGGGTTAAAAAAAAGAAGAAGAAGAAGAAGAGCAAAGTTGGCATGACTTGAGTTTTATAAAGTTGCCGCTAGAGGCGCCAATGTTTTGTTAAATTCGATGTGGGTTTTCCTCTACGTCGGTGTTTAAAATGTTGGCCTATGAGATGAACAAAGTGAGCACCCACCCAAGGAATTTATGTTTTGCGGACTATTTGCCGTATGTCGTTGACAACGTGAACTGGAACTGGACTAATAAGAAAGTCGCAATGTCGTCATAGAAAAAAATTGGCTTCGTTTGCTCCATTCTAGCTCTCTATATTTGATTAGGGTACAACCTCAACAGATATAACTATTAATAAATTCGATGTATGATGGTTACATCGCAGTTTTATGTTACAACCAACCTTGGTCGGGGAAATTTTAGATATTGGAAATTTAAACTGAACATCCTGTAGATTATTCTGTTGTTCATTTTGCGCGAAATTTAAAACACATTTTAGATGTGATCAATCATCAAACTTTTATTTTTTGGAGTTTTACTTTACCTTCTACAAAAATTGTTCCTAAATATGGAAAATATTAATCATTTTAAAAAAATAGGTTTGATAGATCCTAAATAGCTTTAATAGAGCAAGTACTTTATGGTAAGTTTTCGGGATGTTTTCAGATGGTATTATATTAACGAAAGAAGGGAACGTTAAGAAGGATTTTTTACTGAAAGAGACCTCAGATAAAATAAAAATCAATTTCTTTCCAACAAAGCTGTACAAAAACCAGTTTCCTTCTGAGTCAAACCAATTTACCTTTGGAAATTAAATATCATGTCAGATTTGGTTAGGTTTTGTTCTTCTTCTTCTAAGGAATAAACCGTTTGGCCTGAAATCGGGTTTGACCGGTAACGCTCCAAGATTACAATTAATATCACACAATACACACACCTTCTGGATCGATATTGCTAATGTTCTGGCTTCTTCAGAGCTTAACCAAAACTGGCTCGCATTTTATTCTGTACTTGTTTGAGGAGAGCGCAGCTAGAGGAGAGGCATGAACCTTGTCTCGGTTGATTGGTGAAAGAATTGATTCCATGCAAGAATTTTAGTGTGATGGAGTGCGAAACTGCTGATGAGTTTATTTGTGGTCATGGTCTTTCAGCCTGGTTGATATTTTTCGTCCTGTAAACTCCACAAACGGAATTTTCTCTTTGACGAACATGTTGATTTCTTAAGAATTCTTGATATGGATTGAGTGAATGTAGGAAGCAATGCAGTGGCAAGTGTGGGGTTGCCTTTAGACTCATTTTCCTTGGAAGATTGTAGTCAAGTGTATTTTATGATGGAACGCCTAAATCTTCAATGTGGAATTTATTGGAGAGAAAAGTAAGAGGTAGGTATTTTAATGCTGGGTTCAGTGATTTAGCCTGGGACAGTTTTATTGCTCTGTTAACAAGAGCGTTGATAACCGATGATTCTTGGGCCAGATAGTGATGTGACAATGTGTGCGTATGTTTTCTGTAAACAGAATGATTCAATGCTAGTTTTCTATTAGTAAGAATATCTAAAAACTGGGGAGTATCATTAATTTCTAATTCACTGGAAAAACGTATGTTAGGATGTAAGAAAATCTCTGCCAAATAAAAAAATGTTATTATTAACTTCAATTTCAGTTCCACCAATATGGGAGTCAGTCATCCGTGATAATGTTCATGCCCCTCCTTTAGCTCCGCCTCCCTCAAACAGTATAGAAGCTGGTACAGAGTAGATTGCGACTCAGTTTCAGTTAAGCTCTGAAGAAGCTAACAGTATGTTTGACGAAACGTCAGCATACGCGTGTCCAGCAGAAGATTTGTAAATAGAAACATAAAAAATCACAATCTAAATCTAAAGCAAGAAAGAAAACGCGAAAAAACTTCCCCAGCCATTTATTTTAAATGTCAATGCTGCCAACGTTGCCGGCAGTGACGTAAGCGACAATATTCTGTCCCCCACATCTGACATCAACTTCCGCGTCCGGATTTTCCGTATGAAATTCTCCCGTTCCGCATCCCCAAGTTATCGTTTTCAAAATGTCAGCGTTTTGCGGTTCCACGGTCCGCCATGGGGGTTGATTGCGCCAAAATCGGCAATTATTCGTCGCAGCCCCTCGCCGCGCCGCCCCCATGGAGCGCAATTTAATCTCGCCTATGCGGATGGGACTCGACCTTGGCACGGCCTCAAAGGTCACGCGGACTCGGCAACCGACGACGGAGGATCTAATAAAATTAAACAAATAAAAAAAAGGACAGGGAGCGGGCGCGAGAGAGAGACCGTTAATAAGCGCGGCAAAGTAATTGGAATTTATTGTTTTGCAGTACCCCCCGGGCTCATATACCAAACGGCGATGGACGAGAAAAAGCAATACTCCGCGCTGACCATCGACAGGGCTGCGTTCCTTCTGCTGAGGGTGAAGAAGGCGTTCAAAAAGAAAAAACTGCAAAGGAAAGAGAGGGAACGAAAGTGAGTTTGCCACCTACTTAAATTTCGCTGTTTATTGCCGATTTTACTAGGACCTCTGGCGGAAAAAAAACTAAACTGTAGTGTTTTCACATCTGCCTATGACGACCGCATTTAAAAGTGGTTTGGGCCGGGCTCAAATGATTATTTGGCAATATAATTAGTAGGTATAAATGTGTCCTTTGGCTTTTTTAATTTTTAAAAACTTTTTATAATTCAAATAGTTTACGTCATGTGAAAGTCGCTTATCTCGAACAGAAATTGTCGTAATAAAACTGGAAAGGGCTCTCTTTAGCCTACCAGTGCTGCCCGGGGCAGATTGATTTAGATCGATTTATTGAATTTATAAACAATTTCTCTTGGACGTTCCATAAAGGGAAAAGAGCAACATTTTTTTATTAAAAGCTCATACGACTAAGATTTAGATGCAACTGACGGATTTTTTGATCATTTGCCGTCTACCAAAGTATAATAGCGTTACAGTAATGGTTTTACTGACCATATCGGAAAAGGTTTTGTTTATCCCACTCCTGACGCCAACTTCCACGACGTTGCGGTTATTATAAAATTTAAAGGAGAATTTTAAGATGAAAAGATAAGAATAAGATTGGATATATTATTTTGTTTTTAAAAAGTTGTGTCTCTAAATTTAATACAAACATTGTATAGACCAGTGATGGGGAAACTACGGCCCGCGAAGAGGGTTTAATCTGACCAGTTTAAGAATGCCGTCGTGAGAATGTTTGAACGCGTTCTTACTTCGTAATGTGACGACCCGCATAAAAACTACCTGCGGCGATTTTCAAAACACAATAGTATTCTGGACGATTCCATCCGACCTAAACAGCTGACTCCTCTTCTGTTGTTCTGTTTTGCCGAAAGATCCGGAAAAATCTAATGCCCGAACAATCCTTGCGGCCTCCTGAAGATCAGTTAGTTAGCGACTTAGTTATCTGGAAGGGAAAAATCAGTTTCTTCACGATATTTGCCAATATCTGAAGAGTTTCAAATTACAGTTATTATTATTTGCTAATCAGATCTCTAAATCTGATTTTTCTCATTTTCCAAGAATACAATCTTTAAAATTCACTATATTAAATAAGATTAAAAAATACGAAATTAATTTGAGAAAACTATCTTCAGAATTTGAAAGGAGTTTTCAGAACTTTAGAAAAATGGAACCAGAGTTTAATATTTTTGCGACCCCATTCAATGTTAATTACGAAGAAGTTGATGCAAAATTTAGCTTGAGTTGATGGAACTGAACTGTAATACTCTCCTGAAACAAATTTTTCATACAGTACCATTACTAGAATTTTATAAAAATTTAAGTCCAGATAATTTCCCAAATGTAATTCCCCATGCAATGAAGATAATGACAATGTTCGGCTTATCTTATTTATGGGAACAAATCTTTTCAACATTGAAGCTTAGGAAAACTTCTTTAAGAAACAGAATTACAGATGAGCACCTTTCATCAGTTTCATTTTTTATGCACCATCAACCAGTAATGACACCAGAAAATAAAGTGATACTCCTTCACCTCAAGAACTACACTAAATTCATTTTTTTTTGTGCTTATAATTTTCTTACCTTTTTAAAATTAAAATAATAAGTGTATGTAATAACATAACACATAATTTTTTTAACGATTAAGCATTATTCTTTGGCCCGCTACGATCGTCTAGTTATTACAGATGGCCCGTCTTAAAAAAAGTTTCACTACCACTGGTATAGACGCACTGCACGCTGTGTCCTATTATGGTCACGACTGAGGGACATGTCCGTTGTTGGTCCGTTTTCGTAACCCTTTGCTACTTTTTTGTGAATCGAAAAATGATATTACCAAAGTTTTTATGATATGCTCAGTTTTTTAAAAAAAATAATAATTTTGGATATTTGAAGTCTTGGGGCATCGGGGATATAGAATTTTGCGTAAAATTTAGTTTCTTAGTCAGTTTTTTATTTTAAATCTTTTAAAAAATTCTTATATGCCATTTTGATTCCGGTTGGTATGAGCTTGTCAAAAAGTGGCTATTTGTATCAATGATATGACAACAATGATTTTTTAAAAATTTCATTCAAGGTTGGATTGCGGTAGGCCTTGGAAAAGGGATTTATCAAACATCTAAAATAGTGACCTTATTTATTAATGACAATACTTACACAATAACTTCTATAATTTGCATGAAGCCAAAATACTTTAATATGGACATTTTTTTTGTAATTTTGGAGGTAATTAGATAGGTACTAATGGGCCTAACAGGTGGCCTGCGAGGTCTCCGTTTTCGATTTTTTTGTATCCACGTTTAAAAGGTAGAACCACTGAAGCAGCTTTTAAGAGTTTGCCAACACAACCTCTTGTTATTTTGAATGCTTTGGAGAGGACTGAAACTGTGTGTAGGTTGTGCGTTAGAGCAAAGGTCGACATTTTTATTTTTTTTTAGCTTTATAAATTAAAATAGTTATATTCAGATTTGCAGAAAATGCAAATATTAAATCATTTTAAATAATTGTTTTAATATCTAAGTTCTCGTTTTCACCGTTGTTTTAAGATGGGTCCTCCTCCTACTACTAAGTGGTAGCAAAACCGAATACACTGAAAGGTTGATCGGTTGATTCGTTGAGCAAAAATTTAATGAAAAGCTGGATAGCATCGATAATTAGCTGAACGAGGTGTGTACTACTCTTAAACAGTTAAGTCACCAGCAATACTAAGGATATTGCTGAAATTGAGCTTAACTGCGATCGCTTAGACCAAAGATCCAAGCGTAATAGTCTTCGATTTGGAGGTGTAATTGAGGAGGCGGATGTAATAAACATTGAGCTTAGAGTTCAGTGCACTGCAAGTGATATCGACTATGCTCATCGTATGGGCAGGCTCGTGCAAGATCGGCATCGACCAGTAATCGTCGATTTCATATCTAACAATAAAAGAGCTGAAGTTTGTCAAGCGTAAGTAAGCTTAAAGGTTCCTCCTACGTCATTCACGAAGATTGAGGTATAATCTGCTTACTGCGGCAAAGAAGAAATTCGGTCAAATAAGGTTTGGTCGTCTGGCGGCAAAAGGCAAAAGGAGGGGGGAGGTCGTGTATCTCCTCCTCCGACCTCCTCCAGAACCTTACCGAGTTTGGTCCCGATCGTATCAACGGTCTCGGAGATAGCAAACTTTTTGACTTTTGACCTCCTCAAAACCTAAAACAAAAAATTCGCCAGTTTTCGATCTCGGGCTCGACGCGTGCTCTGAGTATAGGGCTTTCGGGGCGTCCGGGTCGGGTCCGCCGCCGACTTCAAATACTGAAAATCCGATATTACCTCAATATTGAGGAATTTTTGAGGAGGTCGGGCGAGGTCGCACTCGACGCCCTTCGCGACCACACTCACGAGGTCGGAATTTTCGATTTCCGATTTTGGGAAAGCGAAAAATGCGGTTATTTTTTTGACCCCCCCCCCCCCCCTTGATCCCACCCGTTTGGGAGGGGATCAATGAGAAGGGTATCGTAAGAAAAGCCGTTCCTTCGACTACCTCCCGTATCGATCCGAACCCGGCCGGACCTACCACGACCTTAATCGACGCGTTCAAAAACAATACTCAAAAAGGTCATATTTTTGAGTTTTTCAGGTAGGCGATTTTTGAGGGTGGATTCGGTGTTTTCGACCCGAAAAACCCCTCCTTGCCGGTTTCGAACCGATTCGGATGGTAAACCTCCGAGATAGCAAACTTTTTGAACTTTGAGGGAGCGCCCTCAAGAAGAACTCCACAGACGGGTATAGGACGTGGGCCTTCAGAATGATGCCTGAGTATAGGCGCGTCGACGTAGGTACTCGGATTTTCGATCCGTCCCATAGGAGACGAGATCCTCCCGAACCTCAAAACCTCCTCAACTTTCTTTGAATGGTACTTCGCTTGAATTTGTCGAAAAATGTAAAAACTTAGGAGCTTTTCTTGATAGTAAGCTGCTTTTTGATTCTCACTTGACTTATTTCACTGCAGAAGTCCTACGGGAAACTGAAAGTACTTTCCATGTACAAAGACTACTTATCTACTGAGATACTTAGATTATAGTCTCTCTATTGGGATATGCGGACGTTGTATACTGGCCGGCTCTAAGACGGAAAGACCAATATAGCTTACAAAATGCCTGCTTGAGATATGGTTTGCGTAAATTTGATCATATAACGCCGGCACTTAAGGATTCTCAGTGGCTAAATCTGTCTGAAAGGTATTTTGTGCAACTGTCTACGTTAGTGACTAGGTACGAAAAGCCCCGGTATCCCTACGACAGACTGGCTAGGGATAGTGATATACATAACATATAATAACAGGGCGACTCGTCACCGTAACCTGTTCTATGCTCCCAAGCTAAGTACGGCTTCGTTTCAGAGCTCTTTCACATATAACGCTATTAAAACTTACAATTCACTTCCACTGGATATTATTACTTTTTCATCCACCTCCACATTTAAAAAGAAATTAAAAGAGCTGGTGAGATTAAGGAGAGGTTGAATCGCTTTTTTTTATATTTGTTTTTTTTTTTGCTTATTTTATTATTTATTTTATTGAACTACACCAAGAACTTATAGACCGTGATTTTGAACAAAGGGTGAACTTCTGTAACGTTGTAAATCAACCAGTAGAGTCAACTTTTTTGTCTAAAATAATGTTTTCCGATGAAGTTACTTTTTGTAGTTATTTAAACTTTAAAGAAGTTGATAACATTGAAATCCAACAAATTTGGTTTCAGCAAGATGGAACTGCCCCGCTAAATTTCTTTTTGTGAAGATATGTTAAAGATCGTGTTTATGTGAATCCCCCTAGGACACCAGAAAATATGAAAAACAGGATTAGGGATGCATGCAGGAAGATAATAGCGTTTTTGCTAAGGAACGCTCAAGAAAATATACGAAAAAGACTATATATGTGTATTCATATTTTTAAGGTAAGTTAATTTGTATTAATAGGTATTTAATATTATTTACTTTTAAAATGATATTTCATAATA